GATAAAAAATATAAATGTATTAGTACATTGTGTGATAATTTAACTGATGATATGATATAAAATTTGTTATTTACAAGATTGCAGGTGATCCTCATATCTCGAGAAAAAGACAAAAGCAGATGACAGCTCTGCTTGTCCTCCTGAAAGCTGTACAACATTTGTTTAAAAATCTTGTAACAATTGTAAAATACTAGAATTCGTCATGTTACGAGTTTCACCCTCTATATTTCTGCTCATCAATATTTGCATGATTTTTTTCTTACACGATTTTCTTATACTCAGTATGTTTCCACTGTGTAAAAGGAGGGTGTCACATGTACTTCTCTTCATCTTTTAAGTATCACGTCATTCATTTTGTCATTGATACTTTATGCACGTTTGTATGTGTATTCTTTACATTTCTTTGCTTACCTAATTCCGATATAAATGCATAAAATCCGCAGTCTAATTATTAGTGCAATCAATTAGTATGATCGCTTAGAGGGTTACACGATAATTTCTCGCCCCTGAATTTCGTAACTGCACATTCGTTTAATATTTTGATATGATCGTAGTTATTAAACTTCCGCGGTAACCCAGAACCGGTGACCTCGTCCCTCGAGTTGTCTAACATTCTATTATTTTCTAAATTGATATTCTTCTCGGAATTTTGATCAGTCCTGAACGTTTTGAGATCATTTTGGATACTCCGAACGCTGTCCGTGTTATTTTCGTATCGCCGGAATAAATTGTTCTCGTTCTCGTACCTATGGTGCACGGTTACGGGGCGTATTCGTAACGATTCGTCTAACGAGCGTTGATCCTCGATTCGCCTGGATAGCCCGCTATTGTAACAGTGATCCGTCTCTATGTAATGCTGGCTCGAATTCTCCGCCTCGTAAGCGTGTTTCGTTAATTGGCTATCGAACCCAGCTCTGGCAGCGAGGTGGAGGTAATTGTCGTCGCCGATCGGGGCTTGCTTGCTTCCGTACTTGGTATCGCGCGCTAATCTCCTGAAGTAGGCTCGATGCTCGTGCTGCAAGGCGTACGCGACTTCTCTTAAGGCGCTCAACGTTTTGATGCAAGAAGGCACGTCTTCGATTGGAGACCCGCCTGGTATGATGCACGTGTCGTTACTGCCGTACACGGCCTGGCACTCGCAAGCGTTCATCAACGTCTCGAGACGCGGCATGTTCGTGAAGATCAACGAGTGTATTCGTTGTAAGTCTCGATCCGGATCTAGGACCATTCGCATTCCGGCTTCCACGCCTGGAGACACCTCGCAACATCCCGGAGCGGTTTCCACTACTGCTTTACAGCTAAAAATCAAATTTATGCATTTGAATGTGTTATAGAATACCTGAAAAAATTGTCTTTGTATACTAGTATATCGTATATTTTCTTCATCACCATAATTGCAGATATTAAATATAATATAATTGTTAGCAAATTGTTACATTCTAATACTTCAAGTTCGGCAATTTTTTAAAAATTCTTATCTAAGTAAGTTATATGCTTATACAATTTTTTATAAAAATCGATTAATGTTACTGTGAGCTGAAAGCGATTAAATGTTTCAAAAATCAGTTTTTCACGATTTTCGGTCTAAAAATAATTTACATGCTTGTGTATCTGACTTTTTATGCTCTCAACGATTTTTCTGCTTCGTGCATACATATAGCTTAGTTAAATATACAAACGGGATGTTTCAAATTTTTATAGAAGATTCTAACAAAAGTTACAAATCATATCATTTTGTATCTTCCTCGAGATTGTAATGAGTAGTAATTCCTTTTTTCAATTTTTTGTCATATATTATGTAGCGAACCAGGTCTCCTAACATCCTAAACAAAATGAATATGTTTCATCATGTATGATATTAAAAAAGTTATTCTATTTTCAAATGTATCTGAATATTAATGGAGTCACTATATATGTAATCTAATAAACCAATAACTCATCAATACATATTGACAGTTAAAACGATAGTAAACTCATCTACGATTTTCTTGTGTATTGTTCGACTTCTGGCGAGTGATTATAAGTCAGACAATCATAAGTATAATTTCCGTTAATTCATTAACTCATTTCAGATAAAATATATTTCTCATCCAGTGTTCCTTTGATTTTTATCAAAATTTCCTGTTCACTTGAATTACAGATATTAATTATAAATTGATACATTCATATATACAAGCTATTCTTTCATTTAAATTTGCTATGAAAAATTCTCAAATATATTCCTCATCTAAATACTAATATGTTTCGGATTTTTTCAAAATTTCATGATTTATGTAAGGTTTAACGATTCGATTATCAATAAAATTTTGCCGATAAGTAATAAATATAGTACATGTACCATTCATGCAAACCACATTTGGACAAAACGTTCTTATTTCACGTGATGAATAAAAACGTGGACATATCTCTCTTATCAAATTCTTAAAAATTACAACCACTCTGCGGACACTATAAAATTTTTTTCAAGACTCAATCCACCGCAGATTTAAAGGATCCTATGTCTTTCAAGTCAGCTCAAAATCATTTCTCTACAATTTTTTGTTGCAATTTTATTGAAGTTTAAGTGAAATAAAGGTTTTAGAGTAGGACAAACTTCATAAACTCGCAAATTTAAAGGATGATATTTCCACTTTAAAATAAGCGATAGATCTTCGTTCTACGATTTTTTGTTGCGACTTTATAGAAGTTTAAGTGAAAAGTATACCGCCGGTAACTTATTTACTCAACACATGAATTAAGAACGTCGTGACAAAATATGATCTGCAGTATGCGGAAGTAGAAATTATAAGCTTTAAAATAAGCTCAGACTGAATGTTCTAGGACTGTTTATTACAAGATCACAAGAGTTTAAAGATGATTAATTTTTCAGAACCAAAACTTATTTTAAGAATACTTTCGTAAGCATTAACTTTAAATCCCATATCTTCTAATACTTTTTTATGAGAAATTTCATACTCTATTTAAATTCAATAAGAAATGTTAGGCTTTCGATCTAAAACAAATGAAAATGGCCTTCGCATTTCGATAAAAAAATAATGTAATATCAAAATTATTAGAACACTGTATGTCCTTCTCAGAACCATGCAAGTTCTGTTTGAAACAATTTTCTCTACGATTAATATTTAAATTCATCACGTTGTGAGAATCATCCACTATAATAAAAACAACTTTCTCCTACTTTTAGAAACATAATCAGCCTGTAATATACTTATAATAAAATATAGTCTGCGGATTCTTACGAAAAATCATATTTTTTTAAATATGCTGTGAAGAATGTGACCCATTTATACAGATTTATAATTTTTAGAACTTCATGATGTGAGATTTACATGAATTGTTTTATGTACTTTTAGAAATTATATACAATAGATGGATTTTTTGATATGAATAAAAAACATAAATGCATAAAAATCCGTAGTCTACTTATAATAAAATATATAGCGTACCAAAGCCAATGGCCGTTAATATATGCACTTGGGTGATATTTCTCTAATCGATTGCTATTGGTGCGACAAATTTTTGTTAAGATGTCAATCCACTCCTTTTCCTCCACACAATTTCCAGCTTGAACGTAGAGCGCTCTTTGCGATTGAACAATTTGAAACATGTTCTTCATTTTAAACGAATCTTCCTGAAGCTTCTCAACGGCCAAAATGTCTTCGAGAGGTATTCTACACAAAGGTTCTTTCCCTAGGAAATAGAATACAAAATGTGAGTTTATTTAGATAAATTCAGAGGCCCACAAATGTAGTCTGAACATAGGACGAAATTCATGTTTTCTTATGTATTTTGACACACTGAGATCTACACACAAGATACTTCAAATTTTTATTGGCGATAATGCATAGCATACGTTGCTCGATAAACCGTGACTTCACCGTAACAGTATCGAATTTTCAAACTCGACTTTTTCGAAAACTAGACGATAAATTAAAAAATTGCCAAACTATAAGTATAGACTATAATAAAAATTACAAAAAAAGTGAAATACATAATTTGTAAGATTTTTATTAGTCTTTAAAAAAAATTTAAAACATTCCGTTTGTAGATCTAAGTAAGTTATATGCTTATACAATTTTTTATAAAAATCGATTAATGTTACTGTGAGCTGAAAGCGATTAAATGTTTCAAAAATCAGTTTTTCACGATTTTCGGTCTAAAAATAATTTACATGCTTGTGTATCTGACTTTTTATGCTCTCAACGATTTTTCTGCTTCGTGCATACATATAGCTTAGTTAAATATACAAACGGGATGTTTCAAATTTTTATAGAAGATTCTAACAAAAGTTACAAATCATATCATTTTGTATCTTCCTCGAGATTGTAATGAGTAGTAATTCCTTTTTTCAATTTTTTGTCATATATTATGTAGCGAACCAGGTCTCCTAACATCCTAAACAAAATGAATATGTTTCATCATGTATGATATTAAAAAAGTTATTCTATTTTCAAATGTATCTGAATATTAATGGGAGTCACTATATATGTAATCTAATAAACCAATAACTCATCAATACATATTGACAGTTAAAACGATAGTAAACTCATCTACGATTTTCTTGTGTATTGTTCGACTTCTGGCGAGTGATTATAAGTCAGACAATCATAAGTATAATTTCCGTTAATTCATTAACTCATTTCAGATTACATGATGGCAGAAATCGATTGGCATATTTGTAATTATTCAGCGAAAACTGCTCTGTTTTTACATCTATTGTTGCACTATTTTGAAAAACTACCCTTTAAACTCCGATTCTTTCTTCAGATTTGTAATTAACGCGTTAAACCATACAAGAAAACATACATTTCATCCCACATCCACACTTCTTTCTTTTCATTGTGGTTTCGTATTCTTCCATAATTCTTCGAAACAGGCGTGTTTTACCTTTAGTCTTCGAATAAGTTAAATCTTGCGTGGTGAGCCTGAAGTATCTTTGCTTAAAATTCTTTCGTCCAAACCGCTTTCTACCTTGGGCCCTTTTAATCATTACTCTGTAATTAAAAAACAATTGAGAACTCTCCGAACCCGCGTAATAATCTTCTATTACCAACGAGATATCGTTACGAACCTCTTATTACGATCAGTGGAGTGCATGAAGAGAAAATATATTCTATTAGGAATGCTTTTTATTAGCGATAATTGTATTCAGTTTCATGGATTTAATAACAATGCTGGCAATTCAGAAAAATAAGTAATATACGTATGAACTGCTTGTACCTACCAGGTATCGAAAATGCTCGAATCTTTTCAATAGTTCGACGATCGAACCGAACTAAGACTCAATTTCCCATCCCATCTGAGTATTCGAAAATACCGAGCAGTTGAAAGAAACCGAGTAGCTTGAGTACAAGCGAATATATATAAAAATGAATTTTCGTATAATTTTATGAATATGAATTTGAATGATATTAACCCCTTCCCGTACTTTAGCGACTCAGACTCGCGATGAAGATTTTTGCCCAAACATGAATATCGCGAGTCTGACTCGCGACCAGATACTTGGGGCAAACATAAATATCACGAGTCTGACTCGCGACCAGATACTTGGGGCAAACATAAATATCACGAGTCTGACTCGCGACCAGATACTTGGGCCAAAAGTAAACATAACAAACCGAGCTCGCGGACTGATTTTTTGCCCGTTACGCTCGTGACTGAATGTTAGTTCCTCTCAGTACCTCAGAACAGTTAGTCACAATTTTTATCGTTGCTGTTACGAAGCAGTTCAATTATTCAAATTTAAGAAACCCCTTCAAAATGCAAGGTACAAAAGTGTTTAGTGAAGACCGTGATAACGAATCTTCTGATAGTGACGTGTTTATGCCTGTTGCAAAGCGAATAAGGCATATGATTATAGATGATAGTAGTGAAGTGGAAGGTACGACAGAACAACCATGGATTTGGCGAAAAGTAGAAAACACACCAATAGTTTGGAAGTATTCTGAACATCATGGAATAAAGGCGTCTGTCTTAAATAATTTAAGCGAGAATCCAACAATACTAGACCTATTCTTTATTACATTTGATAAGAAGTTTTGGGAAAGCCTGGTTACGGAAAGAAATCGCTTCGCAGATCAAACAATACACGACGAGCGAAAAAAACGATGTGTAGACGACACTTGGTATCCTGTCACTTTAGACGAAATGAAGGCCTATTTTGCATTATGTATTTTGATGGGTCAAGTAAAAAAATCAAGTATTCAACTTTACTGGACTAAAAGAGCTGTATTAGGAACGCCAATATTTAGAGAAACGATGCCATTTAAGAGATTTCGTCAAATTTCGAGATTTTTACATTTCTCCGATAATGAAACTGGTGATAGTAAAGACCGACTTCGCAAGATAAGACCGGTCATTGATTTTTGGAATCAAAAATTTAAAGAAATTTACACACCCAATGAATATGTTAGCATAGATGAATCCTTGATGAAATATAAAGGGCGTTCAGGGTACAAACAATTCAATCCGTCAAAAAGAGCTCGGTTTGGAATAAAAATTTACAAATTGTGCGAGGCAACTACCGGTTTCTGCCATGGATTTAAAATATATACCGGCCAGGACAGAACTAATCGACACGAGAGTGCGTCGGAGAATGTTGTTATCGAGTTGTCAAAATCTATAATAAATAAAGGGTACACTTTATTCCTGGATAACTGGTACTCTTCGCCCAACCTGTTTCTAAAATTACACCGTCAAAAGACAAACGTCATCTGGACGGTACGAAAGAACAGAAAAAATATGCCACAAGACATGCAAAAACATATTTTGAAGAAAGGAGAATTCGTGTGGAGATGTTGCAATAATTTGATAGC